CCAGTCCACCTAACTTGCACATCTTTGGTCTGTGGGAGGAAACCAGAGAACCCAGTGGAAACCCACGCAGACATGGGGATAATGTGCAAACTCCACACAGACAGACAGTCACCTGAGGTTGGACTCACACCCGGATCTCTTGTGGTGTGAGGCAATGCGAACCAGAGCTACCATGCTGCCCAGTCATTGCCTGGCATTTGTGTGGCACAAATGCCACTTGTTATTTGTCAGCCCAAACCTGGTTTGTCCAGATCTTGTTGCATTTGAACATGGATTGCTTCAGTATTTGATAGTCACAAATTGTGCTAAACATTGCATAGTTACCAGAGAACCTCCCCACTTCTGACCCTTTCATGGAAGGAAGTTCATTGATGAAGCAGCTGAAGATGGTTGAGCCTGAGAGACTACCCTGAGGAACTTCTGCGGGGATGTCTTGGAGTTGAGATGACTGGCCTCCAACTACTAATACCACCTTCCTACGTGCCAGGTATGACTCCAACCAGTGGAGAGTTTGCCCCCGAAACCTATTGATTCCAGTTTTGCTAGGGGTCCTTGATGTCACACACAAATGTAGCTTTGGTGTCAAGAGCTGTCAGCCTCACTTCACTTCTGGAATTCAGCTCTTTTGTCCATGTTTGAACCAAGGCTGTAATGAGGTCAGGAGCTGAATGGCTCTGACAGATTCTAAACTGGGAGTCACTGAGCAGGTGCTCCTGATGACACCTTCCATCACTTTACTGATGATCGACAGTAGATTAATGGGGTGGTAATTCGCCAGGTTGGATTTATCCTACGTTTTGTGTACAGGATATACCGAGGCAATATTGCACATTTTTGGATATTAGTGTTCCAGATGTGCTGGCACAGCTTGGGCAGGGGAGCGGCAAGTTCTGGATGACAAGTCTTCAGTATTATTGCCGGAACGTTGTCCCCTAACATTCAGGGATATTGGAGACCATTCAGAGAGTCAGGAGGAATGGAAAAGGCAGAGTAGCACTGTTATTAGGAAACAACATGAGGACAGATGTGATCAATGACCTAGGGTCCATTTGGACAGATGTAAATACTGTAATGGAAAGAAGACATTGGTAGGTGCAGTGTACAGACTCCCAAACAGTAGCCACTCTCCAGGAAAGGCTATAAATCAACAAGTAATAGGACCGTGTAACAAGGATAGAACAATAATTATTGGTGACTTTAACCTTCATGTTGTTCAGGTTAATTAAACTGGAAAAGGTAGCCATAACAACAAATTCATAGAGTGCATTAGGGATAGCTTCCTAGAGCAATATATGAAGAGTCAACCAGGAAGCAGGCTATTTTGGATGTGGTTACGGGTAATGAGATAGGTTTAATAAATGACCTCCCAGTAAAAGGCAATCTCGAAAGTAGTGATCATAACTACTATTTAATATTCATTTTGAGAGTGAGAAACTTGGGTCAGAAATAATAAAGTTTAACTTAAGTAAAGGGAATTACAAGTAAATGAGGACAGAGTTAACTAAAGTGAACAGGGCAGATAGACTAGCAGGAATGACAGTAAGTAAGCAGTTGCAGACATTTAAAGAAGTAATTCATGACTCAAAAAAATTACATCGCAGTAAGGATGAAAGATTCTGAGGGATAAACCAACCATAGCTAACAAAGGAAGTTAAGGAAAATATTAAGTTGAAAGATAAAGCATATAAGGAGGCCAAAGTCAGTGATAGCCCTGAAGACTGGGATAAATTCAATATCCAGCAAAGCAGGACTAAAAAGATAATAAAGACAGATAAAATAAACTGAGGGCAAACTAGCGAGGAATATAAAAAGTGAGAATAAGAGCTGCTTTAAATATATAAAAAGGAAGAGAGAGGCCAAACTGAACATAGGCCCCTTCAAAAAGGAAGGGGCGCAAAAAGCAGGTAACTATAGTTGATTAGCCTAACATGCTGCAATAAATTATTAAGGAAGTAATAGCAGAACATTTTGAAAATCATGATCTTATCAAGCAGAGTCAGCATGGTTTCAGGAAAGGGAAATCCTGTGTGCCTAATTTATTGAAGATTTTCGAGGAAGTCTCAATCAGAATGGATCGATGAAAACCAGTAGATTCATTGTCTTCTGGAAGTCCAAATACATTCGACATGATACCTCAAGACATAAGAGCCCATGGTGTTGGACGTAGCATGTTAGCATGGAGAGAGAACTGGCTCATGGGCAGGAAACAGTGAATGGGAATAAGGCATTCTATTTCAAGCTGGTGACCCACGATCAGTGGGTTACATAGGGATCAGTGCTAGACCCCCACAACTGTTTACAAATATATAATAATGACTTGGTGGAAAGAAGCGAATGTACTGTAGCCAAAATTGCAGACGACACTAAATTAGGTGGAAAGGCAAGTTGAGAAAGGAATACAAACAAACAGTTTGCAGAGATATTGAAAGATTAAATAAATGGGCAAGGAGTTGGCAAATGGAGGACGTGGGGAAATGTGAAGTTGTTCATTTTGGAAGAGAGAGCAAAGGAATGGAATATTATTTAAATAGAGAAAAACTGCAGAAAACTGCATCATGAAAGGACTTGGGGTACTTGTGCACAAACACAGGAAGCCAGGTAAACAGGAAGGCTTAATGAAATGACAAGGTGTACAGCTGGATGAACACAGCAGGACAAGCAGCAGAGGAACAGTAAAGCTGACGTTTCGGGTCTAGACCCTTCTTCAGAAATAGACCCGAAACATCAGCTTTCCTGCTCCTCCGATGCTGCTTGTCCTGCTGTGTTCATCCAGCTCTACACCTTGTTGTCTCAGATTCTCCAGCATCAGCAGTTCCTACTATCTCAGGCTTAATGAAATGTTGTGAGGAAGGGTCACTGGACCCAAAATGTTAACTCTGATTTTTCTTCACAGATGCTGCCAGACCTGCTGAGCTTTTCCAGCAACTTTTGTTTTTGTTCTTGTTGTTAATGAAATGTTGGCCCTTGTTTCAAGGTGGGGTCGAGTATAAGAGTAGGGAAGTCTTACTGCAACTGTGCAAGGTACTAGTCAGACCACATCTGGAGTACCGAGAGCAGTTTTGGTCCCCTTGTGTAAGGAAATATATTTTTTCAGAGAAGGCTCACTTGGATGATCTTCGTATGGAGGAATTGTCTTATGAGCAAAGGCTAAAGAGTTTGGAACACTTCTCACTGAAGTTTAGAAGAATGAGAGGCTATCTCCTTGAAATACATAGGATTCTCAAGGGGCTTGACAGGGTAAATGCTGATAAGATATTTCCCTTCATGGGAGAGTCCAGCACCAGATGGTGTCGTCTCAGAATAAAGGGGCACCAATTTAAGACTGAGATCAAGAGGAATTTCTCTCAGACAGGTTTGAGATTCTGTGGAACTCCTCGCCACTGAGAGCTGTAGGGGCAGAATCCTCAAGTATATTTAAAGGCTGAGATAGATAGATAGATTCTTGATCAATAGGAGAATAAAGGATTACCAGGAAAGGGCAGGAAAGTGGACACGAAGAATGTCGGATAAGCCATGATCTCATTGAATGACTTAGCAGGCTTGATGGACCAAATGGCCCACTCCAATTCCTATTTATGATCTTATAATCAACTGTGGTGTTACTGAATGCCAGAGCTAGTTCAATGGGCTATACTGCTTTCTGCTGCAGCTATTTCTTACTTCTAGGCATTCCTTGCACAAGTGACCAGAGAGAATACAAGTCCACCTCCATCCAACTCTATAATGGATGATGAGGAGGTAGTACAAAATTCAGGAATAATTCAATTCAAAATGAGTAGCCCGTCAGCCCGACAGCCTAACTGACTTTAAAGACTGTTAGCAAAGCTGGCCATGCAGAAATATAGCCTTGCCATCTCTCAATATTGTACAGTGAACACCAAGCTGATGCAAACACTTCAATAGTTTTGAATCTGTCAGGATTAGTCAATTAACAATATTTACTATAATCCAAAGCTCCTATTTCCTGTCTGTGTCTGATTTAATTTTTTGCTTACTCTGGTGGGAGAGAGATTTGGCAGGTTCACTCTATATACAGCATTCCAAGTGTGATTGGTTTGGTCTATATAACAATTCATTTATTTTGGACTGGACAATAAAAGGTGGTTCACATCAACTGAAGTTTAATTGATTGAGGTGCAAGAAAGGTGTAGAAGGATCACTAGAAACCTAGTCTAATAATCCTCTCCTTGCATGGTTTACGGATTCACTTTAGTTAGAGGTTTGCAGCTCACATGCCATTATAAAGGCACCAGCATAAATATATCTGAATAAATAATACACATTATATTTAATTGGAGTAACTAGAGAAGTTGGACATTATCCTCCTTAGAGTAGGGAGCATTAAGTGGAGAATTAATAAATTGGATCAAAGTAATGAACAGTTTTGATCCAGAAAGTAAAGTGAAATTGAAATTTCCAGTGATTGGCAAATGAACCATGAGGAGCGGAGATTTTTCTTGAAGCACAGCTAGTTACTGTGATCTGGAATGCACTGCCTGACAGGCAGTAGAAGCAGGTTCAACAACAACATTTAGGACATTACAAGATAAATATTTGAAGGGGAAATTTTACAGGGTAGAAGTAATTTCAAAAGGGTAGGGAGTGGGATAACAAGTTTCTTCTGTACTCTACTTTCGATTAAAGAAAAAGTCTGGGAATGATATCCTTTGATCCTAAATAAAAGTGAATTATAGGGATTAATATTTTGGTTTGTTAGCAGCATTTAGTACACCTCTCCAGTTGAGAGTTCCTGACTGACACTCCAAAGACCACCTACAAGTGGTGGCATTGTCCTGGGTAGTGCCAAACCGAGTGGAAATGCACTCATCTCCAGGCAAGTGGAGAATATTCCAATACAGCCCTGAGTTGTGCCTTCTAGATGGTGGATAGGCTGTATTTACCACCATTCCCCTGCCCCACACACACACACACACACACACACTTCATTCAATGTAAAAGAATGAACTTTCAATCAATTAAAGATCATTTTAAATTCTTACCTTCTCCACTTGGTAGTTTGCCTCCAAATGCAGTCTGGCAAGCTGTTGAGCTCTTTCCACCTCCCCTGCACTGTACGCTGCCTGAATGTTTTTGAGGGTTGGACACTGTTCGATGGGTAAGCCACCCAACCCAGATTGTTTGCTTCCCATAATCTCAGGAACTGTGTCTGCAAACAAAGGCATTGTTCAGATTCTCAGATTCACGCTGTTACAGTATATATCTTCAGCTCCTATTACATAAACTATTTATTCCTCTTCTGGGTTAAGAAACATGAAATAGAGTTGCATGACATTTATATTTTCATCACTGCAGCTTAGGAGTTAAATCCAACCACAATAATGGGTTGAATATTTACTGTGATAGGCAAGAGTCTGAGTACCAATCCTCAGCACAAAATTTCCCTCTCAGGTGGCTCTAAATTCATGGTATTGGGAAGGGCTGGGGAAAGCTTCACAAATCAAGGTTAAAGAATCATGCAGTCTCAGCTTTAGTAAAAAGTGATGTAATTTTAGAATGAAGTGCAAATTAGTTATTGGTCCCTGTTCATACTGTTACTAGTTTATGCTCACAATGCACTGTTGCCTCTAGTATCCCCAAATCTCCCATTTCTCATTTCCATGCACCCTTGATGTTATCATCTGAATGCATATCATGCTTTAGATTTACACTGACAACAGCCAGTTCTACCTCATTAGGACTTCTCTTGCTCTGGATTTTGCTGGGCTCTTGTGGCAAGGATATACCTGGGCAATTCTACACAGGGCTATGAAGTTTAGCAAGGGGTGCAACAAGCTTTGATGCACAAGTCTTCAGTACTATTGCTGAATGTTTAGAGGGTGTAGTCTTTGCAGTGTCCAATGCCTTCAGCAATTTCTTGATTTCACATTGAGTGAATCAGATTAAATTTGTGATGTTAAGAGACCTCAGGACGAGGCCAAGATGGATTTTCCACTCGCCACTTGTGGCTGAAGATGGAAGAAAAGGCTTCAGTCTAGTCACTTGTATTGACATGCTGGATTCTCCCACTGGGGAGAATTAGGGGACCCTCTTCCCCCAATTAGTTGTTTGATAGTCCACACCTATTGTGACTGAATATGGCAGGAATGCAGGGCTTAGATCAGAGTAAAACAATCTTGTAATCAACAGATCTATCTATTGCTTTGTTTGGCACAAGTAGTTATAATATTACCAGACTAGCATCTAATTTTTAGGTATGCCTGGTGCTTGTCCTCACGCTGTCTCCTGCATTCTTCTTTGAAGCAGAGATGATCTCCTGATTTGATGGTTAATGAAAAAGTGGGGGATATGCCAAGTCATGAGTTTACACGTTATACTTGAAAACAATCCTGGTGGTACTGATAGCCTACAATGACTCACTGATTTCCTTTTTTGAATTTCTAGATTTTAGCACAGTGGGAGTGCCACATAAATGATGTATCGTATCTCCAACGTGAAGACGGGACTCTATGCCCACCAGGCCTGTGCAGTTGTCATTCCTACTAAGGCAGTCATGGACAGATGGATTGATAACAGGTTGATGATGAGGACAAGCTCAAGTCGATCTCTCTGTCTCTGGTTCCCTCATCAGTTGCAGGCCCAGTCTAAAAACTATTTCCTTCAGATCCCAGCCAGCTCAGTCAGTAGTGGTATTCCTGAGCCACTCTTGCTGATGGGCATTGAAATCCCTCGGAAGAGTGCATTCCATGCCTTTGCCATCCTGTGTTTCTTCCACCCGATGTTCAACATGGAGGAGAACGGAATCATCTGGGAGGCAGGTGGGATAGGTGGTAATCAGCACGAGTTTTCTTTGCCCACATTTCACTTGATGTCACGAGCCTTCATGGGGTCGAGAGTCAATGATTTGGAACTCCCTCCCGAACGTGTACCATTGTGCCACCACCTACAACATAGCAGCTGACTAGAGCCCATGTGGGTACCTTTCATTTGGAGAAAGTGAGACAAATTAGATGAGGTAATGTTCAAAGTGAGAATAAGCAGGGCCAGGCTGAGCTGTGTCAATCTCTTCTGGATTATTAGTTAGTGACATCATCACTACATTCCCTTAAACTACTGCTGTTGTTACTACATGTTCAAGATAGCACAAATTTCAAGGTTCCTACTTCTTCACATTATCTCTAGAATTTCCCTGAATAATGGAGTTCATGGTTTTAAATAATTGGCCTAGGAAAAGGCTTGGACACTATTAACTCTGCACAGGCTTCGCATTCTGCCCAATCTTCAGCAAAAGTCTCGACACTACCAAGATCAGCATCTCTGTTCTATCGTCAAATAGCAGAGAACAGTTTTGATCCATTGACCTCTGGGTTATGGGCCCAGCATGCTGCCGCTGCACCATTCTGCTGCCAAATAGCAGAGAATGGTTTCGATCCAAAATAGCATAACAGTTTTGATCCACAAATTAGCCTATTTCTGAAGGAGGGTCCCAACCCGAAACATTAACTTTCCTGCTCCTCTGATGCTGCCTGGCCTGCTGTGTTCCTCCAGCTCCACACTTACCTCGGTCAGGACTGCAGATGCTGGAGTCAATCTCAACATCTCTGTTCTGCTTCTTAAGTCTGGCTGCTGTTTGAACACCTGGTCTTAGCTTCTTTACCACTGCTCCTGGAGTCCTCACACATCTCTGCTACCTGAGCCTAGCTTCTGTTCCACTCATCAGGCCTCTGCTCCAGTACCTGGTCCCATTCTCCATCTGTAACTGGGCTCAGGTCTGGCATTGGTTTTGCTCCCCCCTTTTTCTCCCAGGTGGCTTGAGTTATAATATTAGCTGCTGGGTGTTATGTAATGTAGCTTATGGTTTATAGCATTAGAGCCAGAGTTATTAAACTTGTTGAATAAGTTATATAATAAACTGTTTACGTGACTGAATTACTTGTTTACTCATTGGGTTTTTAAATAATCATTTACAATATTGAGTTTTACCTACATTTAACTCTAATTCAGGAATGTCAATGAAATACAGCCTTCTCATGTTTTACATCTTTTCGCTGTAGCAAATAGAATTTCTGTATTAGTGTAGTGTACTGATTATGGACAAGCAATTATGGACAGGAGCATTAGAAACATTCTAAGAGTAAATATGTCATAGCAGAATAGGTATATTAAACTGAAGTCTTCTGATTTAAGTGTGCAAGCTTTTTCCTATGGCAGTTATTCAAAACCATGACTTCCATTATTCAGGGAAATTCCAGAGATTATGGGAAGGAGTAGGAACCTTGAAATTAGTGTAATCTTGAACTAATAGTAACAATGACAGTAGCTGAAGGGGGATGCAGTGACATGATGTTGATGTCACTAACTAATATCCAGAGACTGACCCAGCTCAGCTTTTTCTCATTTTATCCATAAATATGAAAACATTGTCTCTGATTTTTCCTCATCAAAAGCAAAGGGTTTGAATCAGGGACCTCTGAGCATGTCCACAGCTCACAACCTCTGTGCCAGTATTACAAGCCTATTAATTATTCATCTTTCGAAACCAACAGGGGCTCTGCTGTAATTGTTTAAAACATGTGCACATCTCTAAGACTTGTAGTTCACCAATCAGCAAGAGAACTGACAGAAAAGAAAGGAGATTCTGAAAAACAAGCGTGACTTTATAAAACATAGCACAAGACAATATGCGTATTTTTAAAAATCCAATCTCCATTACGTTAGCACACGGATAAATGGAAATCAGCAATCAGCTACTGAACAGCAAAAAGGAATTTGTACAGTACTGAATTGGTGATTAATGGAATCAATTCAGATTTCAGTTGCTGTGAAGGATATTTTTAAACTAATTTAACTCTTCACCTACCACAAAATATCTCTTGATTATTAAATAATGACAATAAGGTAAAATGGACTAATTTAATATAGCAAACTGACCTTGTCGCCCCTGTGATCAAAGACATACATGTAGTTCATAGACACACTACCAGTCAAACTATACAATATCCGGGCTTGATCTTTGCTATACGAGGATGCTTAACCTTCTGATGGAGTAGAGCTGCCCGATGTACTGAACTGCCAAATCCCAGCCCACAGGCTTCTCACGTACTTGCTCTTTGTCTGAGATGGAAAGTAATTGGCATGATGTGTGACTGTGATCTGGAAAGTGCCTCTGAGACGTAGTGGAGGCAGTTTCAGTGGGGACTTTCAAACAGGAAGTGGATGTACACTGATAAGGTGGGAGGAGTTGCAGGATGATGGGGAAAAGGGCTAATTGGGCAGCTCTTTCAGACAACAATGGAAACATGATAGGCTGAATGTGTCGTATGATTCTGTATTTCAGGAAATGAGGGGAACTTTGTTGCGGTGGACTACAAGAAAACATGTGCATCAAAACACTTGGTGTATTTGTAGGTTCTCTATAGATCCTCCATTCACAGATGAGGGAGCATACAGAAGGCCAGCTGAACAGAGTTTGGGGCTCAATCTTTGCAATGTGGAAATGCTGGACATCTTGTCTGTCGCCACTTTATCAGCTTCCCTACAAGTCAAACAGACATTATCTAATGTCTCAACGTTGCAGTGGAGCTCAAACGAAGGACATAAAACTGATTTTTGCATACAGGCTCAGACTGCTACCATGGTTGCAGAGCTCAATGTTCAGATGGACACACAGGCTCTCACAGAAGTTTAACTGATGAGCTGACTCCACCGAAATTGGAATGTGGAGCTCTTGGTGGCCAGAACCTGGAGTGAGGAGATTAGAGTGAGTCTCCTGTCAGTGTATTTATTTTGGATTGTGATGATAGTTTACAATATATAATTATTAAGTCATTTGGTAGGAGAAAACTTGGCTATTGCTGAAAAAAGATGCATTTTGTTAAATCTTTTCATCTTGTACTTATCAGGCTATTTCACAAGAAATGCTAACAAAGTGAAAACAACATTTATACTGTATGAAAGAAAGACGCTGATTGACTAGCAGTGGACTCTAATTAACCAAGACTTTACCATGCAGAATTCACCAGCAATGAGTATAAAAGTTGGCAAGTCATGTTGAAGTTGCACAAAACTTTAGTTAGGCCACATTTGGAGTACTGTATGCAGTTCTGTTTGCCACACTATTGGAAGGATATAGAACAGTTGGAGATGGTGCAATAAAGATTTTTAACCAGGTTGTTGCCTGGATTGGCATGTATTATAAGGAGAGATTGG